AAAATTAGTTTGCTGTCTGCTGCCAGGTCAGAATTGCAAATGAGAGAATCTGTTCTCAATTGACTTGCCTGCACATATAAAGGTATAAACCGCGCCTTTTTGTGCGTCCCCCCCCCCCCCCCCCCATGAGCTCATTTCTCCCTCTCACATGCCAGTAGAGGTATTACAACACAAAGTGAAAAATAAGAACACCCCCATTCTGTGTTCATTTCCATTATTTTAGTGTAACTTCTCATGGACAATCTTTTTTTTTCTGTGTGTGGTTGTCTCTATAAAGGTGCAACAACATTCTCGGAAAATTGAAAGAATGAAAGAACTTGACTCAAGCTCAAGTGAATGCTTGTCGATCCTGATCTTTCAAGTTCGAGACCTTCACATAACTTTTAAAAAATTTTTTTTGCATAAGTGGTTATCAACAGACTCTTGGACTTCATCACTGAATCTGTCAACATATATTCTTATTCAGTCAGACAACTTTGTTACCGTGTGTTCAGAACCGTAGAAGGTTTAAGTTTTAACGTGATTTGGTTTCAACTGTAATTGTGCATTTGTTTTGCATTTTTATACTTTTAGCTATTTACTGATGTGTTGTTTTTATTCTCTTTTCATTTCACAAAAATAATTTCAGACAGCTGTGATATGTACTGTATGTTTTTTTTTGGGAGGGGCAGAGTTGGATAACGGAGGGAGACACTATGTATAAATCACTGAAAGGCATGCAGCACTGGTTATTTGTCAAAATTTGCAGTTTCAAGTTTGAAAAATGCTTCCAGGTGCTCAAAATTGTCAAACAGGTGTTAAAACATGGAACTGCGTTTTCCTTTCATTTCTTCCTCTGCCATTGCAAAACTATTGCATTTGCTCGAACGTAAGTACAGGGGTCTTCAATCCCGTTCCTGGAGGTCCGCTGTCCTGCCTGTTTTCCATCTTTCCCTGCTGCAACACACCTGGTTCAAATGATCAGATAATCAGCAGATGCTGGAGAATGATCCTGCGCATTTGAATCAAGTATGTTGCAGAAGGGAGAGGTTGGAAACAGGCAGGACGGCGGCCCTCATGGAACAAGAAGACCCTAGACACAACAGGACATCTTTGAATATGATCAAGAAAAACACTCATGGTAACTACATATTAATGTATATGTGTGAATTTGTTTTTATCCATCTGAAAATGGGTCCTAAAATGACATGAAGTGATGGCATTTCAGTATGAGGATGGGGAACGGTGGTGGTGTTGGCAATGAACCCTGCACACTAAGTGCTTTATTATCTACAACACTGAGCAAATTGTTCTCGTTAATTCATCCTTTTAAGCTGTCCTTCCAAAATGTTTCATGTTGTCTGTGCTCAGAGTCGACATAGCCGTATCCCAAGTAAGGGACTGCATCTTGCAAAGAAGCAACCTTAAGAAGTTAACCACTGTTCCTATTAAAATGTCAACGTTATTATTCGGAGGTTCCACTGTACTTTTATGAAAAAATGAAGTGCGCTCCGTAACACCCTTTTGAAACTAGTTTTCAGGGTTGAGCAAGGGGAGCACAATGAAAGGTTAACCACAAGTAGTGTAGCTCAAGTAGTAGAAGGATGCAGCCTCTGAATGGGGACACAGCTCCAGTCAGTTGTTGTTCCTTGTTTTTTTGCCAAATACATCCTGAGCTGCACCTCACTTGGATGTTCCACATGGCTTCACAAAAATTTCACTCACGTCATACCGTCGTCATACATTGCTCAATATATCATGTATAATGCAAATGAAGGCCATTGCTGTAATATATATTCACACACGAGATATTAAAAAAAAAAAAAGCTTGAGGGTTCTGCGCAGTATTCTTGCTGATCCCAGCACTGCGCTTTTCCGGACTGAGATAAGCCCTTGGTATTTCTCGAGTTTCTCATTTTCCTTCTTTCTGATGTTTCCATCACTTGGGACCGCTACATCCACTACAACGGCTTTCCTCTGCCCTTTATCTGTGATCACGATATCTGGTTGGTTCGCCATTACCATCTTGTCAGTCTGGATCTGGAAGTCCCACAGGATCTTCGCTCTGTCATTCTCCACCACCTTCGGAGGTGTTTCCCATTTTGACCTTGGGGTTTCCAGTCCATACTCCGCACAGATGTTTCGGTAGACTATGCCAGCCACCTGGTTATGGCGTTCCATGTAGGCTTTTTATATATATATATATGTATATGTGTATATATATATATGTGTATGTGTATGTGTGTGTGTGTGTGTGTGTGCTCATGAGACTGAAGGCTTGCCATGATGGGTACAATTAAAAGGCAGCTGGAATGAAACTTTGTAATACTTTGGGTTGGCACGAAAGTATGCAGTGGATTAAGGGCCATATTTCCCAACCTTTATTGAGCCAAGGCACGTCTTTCACTTGACGAGTATACAAGTAGCTTCTGTCATATCGTGAAAGAGCATTTGATTATTCTGCTTGTATACATGCTGGGTGTAGATAAATTAACCAAAAATAATGTTTAAAAAAAAGTTTTGGATTTTTTTTTTTTTTTTTTTGTCAAAATAATCGGCATTGGACAATTTCCCGTGGCACATTTGATGATATCATGGCAGACACGTTGGGAATCCCAGGACTTTTACGTGAAATCAAATGCACAATATTTCAAACACAATAATCGAAATGGGCTGTTGTCAATACTTTGACTCATATATAGAATCCTCTCTTTGCTCCTCTTGTCTTTTTCCATCGTAATAGAAATCACTGTATAATGTTAATGGGCATCCATTCAGTTAGCCTGTCAGTAGCTTTAATATTACATTATGCACAAGACACAACGGCTAGCTTTCCCATTCTAATTGAGAGGACAGCGGTGCGGTCTCTGACAAGTTGAAACATTTCCTAGCTAGAAAAAAAAAAGTCAGCTAAGGCATACCTAACGACATTAGCAGTGAGCCACTCATAACTGCAGCACAAACCAGGAAGTGTATTGAGTTGGGACTGAGTGGTAGAAGTTAAGAAATGTCCCCTATATCCTGGTTTAACACAGGTAATTACAACACGACTCCATAGCAGTGGAAAGAAGAAGATGCCTTCTAATAAGGAGGGAGCTCAACCTGCGAGTTCACTGTGGTGGGCGATACTTTTATGTTAGATGTCATCATCTTGATATCATAATTATGAGGATGTGTGCGTTTGTGTTGAAGCTACCACTAACTGAATGTGTTGCCCTAAGCTTATTTTGTTGATTAAACCTCCCAACTTGACTCACGCTAACCTACACAGAGTCCTGTGGATAGTCTTTAAAAAAATGTTGTGAGGCCCTTAGGCAAAGTGAACAAGTGGTTAGCTGCTAACAACCGCGAGGCAGACGTGCTAACCGTTAGCACGTCTGCCTCGCAGTTCTGAGCTTTTGCAATTGAATCATGGCTGCTCTCGCTCCTCAACGCCCCCGCATTCCAAAGATATTCATATTAAACAATTATCAAAGACAAATATATCAATGTTTTATTGGTCTGGAATTACTAAATACGGTACTTTAACATGATGGTACCTGAATTACATTCGTAATTACAATGTTTAACAGGCAAATAACAATCAGAATAATTTTTTTGGGTAACCCTCTCCAACTCACTGTCTACATTCTGACAATAATGAACCACTCGCAAGTCTAAAGTAAACCTAACCACCTCCTGAAAATGCTCCATCCCAGCGCAAAAAGCACAAAAAAACCTTCAACACTCAAATCATTCATAGGACAATTTATTAAGTTGATGTGGATTTACAATAAACCTGCCCATAAAGTTTATTTATGGGATTTAAAATGTATGTTCTCCAGAATTTTCTCCTCCATACAGCATTGTGAGCTATGTGGAATCACTGAGGCGATTTGGTCAATGAGCTGGTGAGCTTGTATTGATTTCTTGAAATTCGACCTGAGCAACAGCAAGCTCGCTTTATTTTAACTATCACCTGCCAGGACAACACGATTTGTGTTTAGTCATTAAAAAAAGTCTGACAAATGACACCATTTTTACCCACGATACACTCATTCAAAAGTATGGCAAAACTTTTAGCCACCCATCCATTTTTGAAAATACTTGTCCTCATTAGGGTTGTAAAGGAGCTGGAGCCTATTCCAGCTGACTTTGAGTAAGACACTTTGACATTCATGGCTACGGACAATTTATAGTTTTCGATGCATGTTTTCGGAACGTGGAGAGGAAGCCAGGTCGCACACAGAAAAACCACACGAGCATGAGAAGGGATCAGGAGGGCCTGTGTCAAAATCTGAATGCAGAACCTCTCAACTTTGTGGCAAAATTGCTCACCAATACAGCACCGTGCTGCCCAGTTGTGTTTTGATCCACCTGAAGTATTAAAAAAAAAAAATTACATTAGGTATTTCTCGTTCTGTCATTTTTATTTACAAATATCAGCCTTTTTTACATATATATGGTCAACATCACCCAAAACATTTGGTACAACTGCAAAACAATATTTCTATCATAAGGCTGCCTTTTCAAATATAACAGTGCTTACTTTCCGTCCAAAGGTATTAATCACATCAATATTATTGCGATTGTACTACTGCGTCATACTGAAAGGTTTTACTCCTAACTCAGAGGTTAAAACCTCTAAGCATGACGCAGTGCAGTTCTAACGCATACCCACTTGAAGCTACAAGCACATTAATACAATGCGTATCTCAGAAACTTGTGGCATGAGAGATTGTTGCAAAGGCAGAATTTCATTAGTCGTGGCTCTTGTTACATCCTCCCTAACCATTTTGAAAAACAACCATAATACATTGGAAGGTTGGTTTCTTGAGATATGTTTCTCAATGCCACATGTATCCTGTTCTGCTGTCATCGAGCAAATGCAGCAGAAAGCATTTTTTGTTGCTGTTGTTAATACCCAGTATACATCTTCTTGCATTGTTTTGGGGCATGGGTGTCTTCAGAGGAACTCCTCTGCACATGCTTGTATTCACTTTGTGTACAAATAATTGCTTTGCATGTCGTGTCGTGTCCGTGATGTGCAAAGCTTGCTAGACGCTATTCAGTTATTATGGCCCAGGAAATTAATTTGTCGATGGGGTGGAGGTGTTGGGATGGAAACTTTTCAAGTTTGAGGACGCCTCTATCAAAAGCAGATCCATCTCCCTTCTACATGACAAACTGACAATAGTTTTGCCGGCGGACTGTCATTGAAATTTTACGTCGACCGGTGGACGCCCGGGCCACCGACCCATGAAGCCATCCCTGCCCCGTTCCCCTCCTCGATGCATGCTCCATGCACACGTGTATGTATACGAGTATGCATCATACGTGGTGTGGCCCAAGACGCAGGACCGAGAAAGCTCTGCGATGCTTGCGCAGCAGCAAGCGGATCTTGTCATCATCAGAGTCCGGATCCAGGGGCTTGTTGTACTCCTCGTCCTCCACCTCATTGTCCGAGGTCTCGCCGGCCTGCCCCGCGTGGGCCTGCGTGGAGCTTGGCTCTGACGCGCTCTTCTTCCTCCACTTGGTGCGGCGGTTTTGGAACCAAACCTCCAGAGAAAAGGGCCCGCATAAGTTGGAACAGTTTTGTCATCGGTGTCATACTTTGTCGATCATGGCCCATATTTACGCACTTGCAAAACCACACCCAGCACAGCCCGTCTAGTTTATTTGAGTGTTTACTGAAATCACTCATTTGAATAAACGTTTACAAATCGAAATCAAATGAATCAGCATCAGATAAAAAGTTCACCTTGACTTGAGATTCAGTCATGCCGAGAGAATAAGCCAGTCTGGCCCGCTCCGGCCCGGCCAAATACTTGGTCTGCTCAAAGGTCTTCTCCAGAGCAAAGATCTGATGCCCACTGAAGGTCGGCCTGGTGTGCTTCTTCCGACCCGACATTTCCCCCAGGGGACCACCTGAAAACACCCAAAACTCGACCGATCACCATTCATGTTCCCGCCATACAAAGGAAAAAGACAAGCGTTTCATTTAATTCAAATCACCAGTGAGTGAGTTGAAGGCAAATTATATTACCCCCGCCAAAAAAAAAAACAAAAACCTAAACATAAAAATCAACATCTGCTTTACTTCAGTAAGATTGTCCCACATTTACTTAGCGCATCTCCATATACTGCACTGCTAATAATAGCTCTGGGCAACCAATATTTTCATATTTTTAAATCAGAGATGCAATTGAACTTTTTTTTTTTTTTTTTTTGGTGCAGATTCCGAAACTGCCGGCAATTTTTTTTTCTCTAACACAACAGGAATCTGTTGTGTTAGAGAAAAAAAAAACTGACCTGTGAACACAGGTCAGTGTGACCTGCTCTGATGTTTCATCATCAAAAAATATCACATTATGCAAAGATTTAATATTAACAGCAAAAATAAAAAAAACAAAGCAAGTAGACGAAGTTTAATTCTTTTTTTCTTCCCTCAATTTTCGAAATGGGTCAATTTGATTCACAACATAACAGGAGGGATAATAATAATAATAATGTGTAATATATTTATGAATTAAAGTGTTAGGTTCTGCAACGGGTGGATTTTTTTTCTGATAGCTATGAATTACAACACATGGTAAACTCTGTATTGCGCAAGCTTTTCTAGGTCAAACAAAAAAATGTGAAACTATCTACAAAATCTTACGTGCTCGAAAAAAAAATACTTTTGAAATCAGCATCTAAAATGCATTTAAGGACACATATAGCCATCTCTGATTAAAATTTGCTGTTGACAAATGTAGTTATTTTTGTAAATTTTTTTCTTTGACCTATTTCGGATCCCAGGTCAGCTCGAGCCGTGCTTTGGTGCAAAACAGTCAAGCTGTTTGCCAGTCAATCACAAGTCACACTTATGGAGTCTTCACTGAATAGAAATCAAGACTTTGGAATACTTTTTGATCGATGATATGATTTGTGACAAAAAACAAATGTTGATCAAAATGAATAATTTTTTAAACGTTTCTTACAATATTGTAATAGTTATGAGAGGCACAAAGTAAAAACAAAAATCTAATCAAGATTACATATCTGCATCAAGTTGGCATATGCTTGTTCTTTGTCAGCTAATATATTTCTTTTGACCAGGCACTTTTTGTCTAAAAGCATTTGACATGCTTCAAGCATTTTTTTAAATTTAAAATCTTACTAAGGTGTAACAACTTCAGACTTTATGACTGATACTGAATAAATGTAGCACAGAATATGAAGTCTATGAATCTAGAACATCTATAACCACACTACCTAAGACATTGTTAATTTTTGAGGGGGTCAAATTTTCCTTGCTATTCACAAATCATTTTGCCGAAACTAAATAATGTAAACCATTTCATGACTTTTTGTTTTTGCAGTGTGCTCCTGAATGTGGCATATGGACTCACTGTTGGCACACTCCTGCTTGTCTCCTCTCCAGTCGCAGCCGCTCTCGGCCCAGCAGCTCAAGCCGCGACCCTTCATGGGATACTCGGCGCCGGTCTTGGCCAAACCGTTCAAGGTCGAGCTGTAGTCTCGGCCGTAATACATGGACGTGCTGGAGACGGGTGGGCCGAAACCCCCCACGGTGGAGTAGCCGGAGAGTAGGCTGTTGGTGGTGCCCACAGAGCCCACCCCCACCATGGAGCGGCTCAGAATGTCACTGATGCCATGAGGGGTCCCCGGTGGCAACTGGCTGCTGAGGCCCGTGTTGAGCTTGTAGAAAGAATTTGGTACTGAGTACTGACAGACTGGCGCCTTGATCTCGCCGGTAAACTGGTTGAGGCTGTTGTTGAACAGGAAAGAACTTTGGATGTTTGGATCCATGGGATGGCTTGGTCTCAGTTAACTCTGGTAAGATCCGGTCAGGACCTCCTTGACGACCTACTGCACAAACAGGCAAGCTTTGGTGTAATGCTCTCCTGTGAGGTCCAAATGCCGACTGATGAGATCAACGGTTGGCCCTCACCTCTCGGAAACCATAGTGAGTCAGACCGTAGGTCCACGCGCGATGAGATGCTGCCTCAAACTGATGCAGCTCCCCTCACATACTATCATAAGCCGCATCTGGACAAGCACATTGATACCGACAGACCACATTCTGACGCGGCGTGGGATTGGTCATCGCCATTGGTTGGTTGGCGAGAGGAGGGCCTTCTAATTGGACGGCTGTAGATTAATGACATTTTGAACAGGTGGAGTGGGATCAAGTAGATTTTTCTTGATGTCCTGACGTGCTTGACTAAGGGTGACGCCGGGTTTGGAGAGGTTGTAGGGGAACATTTGAGCCTTGTTTTGCCTCACGGGAAATGTGTTTTACATCGGGCTGTTTTTGGATGACTTTAACGTGCACTGCTCTGCAGAATAAACACAAAGTCCAGAATATCCTTCTATACCGTTACACTCTTGTCCAGTCCATCTTGATGGAGGTAAGCTATTATACATTTGTTGTTGCTCTAGTCTGTTTCAAATGTTCAAATGGTCGAACAAGTGAGACAAACCGACAACTTATGTGAAATGTATTTTTTGCAGCAGTATTTTAGATAATGGGGGTTCACAGAGGTGCTGTGGGAGAGCTGTCTAGCTTGCCTGGCTAGACTCAATGATATTTGGAAAACAATACATTGTAACATCTTCCAAGATGTTTTACAGGAAACTCAACGTTTATTCGCAACAAAGCACAGGCACTGGATGGCATAGTGGCACGATGAAACAGCGATCTCTCTCTCTCTCTCTCTCTCTCTCTCTCTCTCTCTCTCTCTCTCTCTCTCTCTCTCTCTCTCGAAGTGTTTCGCCTTCAATAATTCGTAAACAGACCTACTCGCAGAACATGACGTCTGTTACAATTCCTCCACTCCACAGCTACACATATCAATCAAACACCCATAACCCAGTTCCTTCAATAAACTGTAAAGTGTAAAATGATCATTGATCACAAGCCAATCGGCAGCTAGCGAAAGACTAATGAAATTAACTTATGTTACGGGACTGAACTGAGATCTTGTGAATCTCTATTCAACCAACAATGTTTTTGTGATTTTTTTTTTTTTAAGGATTTTTTTGCTTGACGTCCAAATTGTAGGACCATTGCACTGCATCATTTGGACTTCCATTGAAACTGCATGTTTCACATACAGGTATACAGTACTGTCCTGTATTACATGCGTGCGTGCATGCACACCATCACGCAATGCATGATGGTGCCGTACTGAAGTAGACTCTCAAAACGCAGACTCGGATAAAATGTACACAGCAAATATTTATTACAGAAAAAAAGTGGCGCGAAGCCGACAAAGTACAAATAAAGCCGCTAGTACTGTACACACAATATAAACGAAAATCGCTTGTCACAAAAGACAAGAAAAACAATTCACGATGAATACGAAATAACTTAGCAAAACCAAAATGACGACAACTAGAAAACAGAAAGCAAATTAAATAAATAAAATAAAACACGAAGAACAGGAAAAACGGAGCAAGTTCAGGAACGTAGACAATTACACTTAAACAATGGCTTGAGCAAGGCAAATTATTCGACAGGGAGTTGTCGGCAGGAGGGTCGTTCAATCGTGGCTTGATTGCGAGGCATGACTGGTGCGCAGCTGAAGGGAAATGCCCACCGCTCAGCCGGACCTCAAAGCGAAATCAGACCGATCATAACACACAAACGCAGTCAAAGTGTACTTTGAGGTTTCATTCGTTGGGGCCACTAAGAAAAAAAAGTAAATCATTTACAAGGTATATCCAGAAAATGGGTGGCAGCTGACAAACAGCTCATGCTACAATTTCTCTTTCCTATCTTCTGTCATAACTGTTCTCACTTGATGCTGCACATTGTCAGCTGTAAAGTAACAAATAAAAGACATCACACAAGCAAGCGTTCAAATGCTTTCCTTGAAAAGCAAAGCCTCGACTATGTACCCCTGTCCTTGAGCAAGGCACATCCTTTCCCCTCTAAGAGTTATGGTATAATATTGGTATATGGTATATATTATTCCTATCCTGCCAGAAAATATTAAAGTGAATGGAAACATAAAAATACAAACAAACAAAAAACGTTATGATCTACCCTGTTGTGCATGTGATATTTAGGATTACAGTAAAAGAAATGCATCTTTTAAAACAACCATTACCCAAATGAAGTGTTCGTTGTATTCAAATGTCAGACAGGAGCACCGAAACGAGAAGAACACAAATGCTGCACAACCCCAAAGGTTTATATGGAATCCAGTTGCATAGATCCAGCCATGGCATCACGAGGTTTATTTGGATAGGAAGGGGAGAGGGCGGGGGGCTTAGCCCCGAGGAGGATGTGAATGAATGCAGTGTGCAAGCACAGCATTTCACAAGAAGCTAGCAAAGACTGATTTGTGTAAAAGTATAAAGTCAGCATTAGAATTGTACACTGCAAATATGCCGGTTTTGTTTCAACTTCTTCAGTGTTAGGTTAACACGGGCAAATCGTTATGCATCCACACTACTCTGTGTTAGAATAACATTTATGTTATGTTCAACTTCCAATAGTGTGCTACACAACAAATTGCAGAGATACAGTACTTGAGTCAGACTCGAGTTGCTATTTTCAGGACTTGAACCTCCTTGCCAAAAACTTTGGAATGACTTGATTTGGGACTTGAGATTGTTCGAACCGTTTGTTTCCACTATGGCATTTCTGTCTACCATAGTCATGCCCCTTGCTCAATTTCAAAACAAAGTTAACCAATGTGAACTTTGAACGTCGCTCTCATGCACCTCAACATAAATGCCAATGACTAAATGCAAAAGAAATGAAGCGGCGTGTTACACAAAGTTGATTGTCGGGAGAAAAAATATGATTTTGGATTCAAAGAGAAAGGGCAGAAAAACTTCTTTTTTTAAAAAAAAAAAATCTTTACATCTACAGTTACTGTTCATCATAAGTTATTGAAAAGAACAGATGTGTTGAAAGCATGAACAAAAATATTTGGTTTTATTTATTTCAACACTTTTTAAAGTATATGATTTTGTAATATTGAATCAGGATTTTTATATAAATAATATATACATTTGGGATCCTTAAGAGCTTTAGTGTGAATTGAAACATGTATTACTCCAAGAATAAAGGGACATCAAAGTCAGTGATGTTGAATTTTTCACCTACCAAAGGCCGTCATATGTCATATGACATATGCATATTATCTATATGTCATCTTCATTTTTGCACTTTTGGGGAGAAAATATTTTTGTGTTTATCCCTTTTTGAACAAAAAAATAAAAAAAAACAATGATGGTTTATATGGCACAAAGGGCATGAAAACTTTAGATTAATTATTGAAAAGTACTCAGGTGTAGTAAGTATTCCCCAAAAATATTGTTTTAATTTTGCCCACACTTTTATAACACGGACCGTTTTTAGTCCTTATGAGCTTTAGTATGATTTTTTTTTTCCATGTCATTACTCCAAAAATAAAAATGCCTCATAATCAGTAATATTCTGAATAGTTTACCTACCAAAGGCCACAATATAATCATCTCAATAATTCCACTCCTAAAGTTTTTTGTTCGGAAATATGCCAGATTTTGTTTATCAATGCAATGCAAAGCAATGTCAAAATATTCATCTAGAACAAGAGTCGTAGATTTATTGCAATACTTTGTTTGGTCGATGTTTAGAGTATATCAACTTGTGTTTGTTTATTTGCCTTTGTGGTACATTGTATACATTGTATATGTATGGAATAGCGCCATTTTACTGAAACATTTATTTTGTGCATGCAACACTTTGTTTTTTTCTTTTCTACCCCCTAGCCCCAATTTTGCTGCTGTAGACTGAAAATTTCCCCAGTGTGGGACAAATGAAGGTTATCTTATCTTATTTCTTGGGTAGTGGATTGCATTTGTTTTTCCCTTTCATTTGAACATTTTGTTAGTTGACTAGTTTTACCATTGATGGTATTGCTTGTTTTATTTATTTATTTTTTGTTTACCCATACAAGATCTACAAAAAAAAAGAGGTTTCTTCAAAGTATGGTTGTTTCAGCAATACTTGGGTCATAATTTGAAACCAGATCCTACAAGAAACACAAAAGAAGTTTGTTGGAACAAAATTAGTGAGAAAGGGGAATGGGATTCAATAAGAATTTCAGGCATTATTCTTTCTCCTTATTGGATGTGGAACATTTCCTTATGAAGTATGAAATGAAATGAGCTACGTGATTGTTTATCTCTTTGTGTATTATTGTCAAATATTACTTGAAATAACTGCAGACAACAATTGTGCATGATCCTTTGATTTAAAAGGACTCATCCAGTGCTTTGCAGAATCCATCTGTTTCCCCGAAATAGTCAGGTGACTCCAGTTATGTGTTAATCGCAGCGACAGTGAAAGCCTCCAAAAGCTTGTAATTTTCCGACTGCAACAGTTTTCATTCACTGCCTCTTTCCTGTCTAGGATGTCAGCTGCCAGCCAATCAAAATGAAGAGGCGGGCCCCCGCAGCCACGCTTTCAGTTTCGAATCACTTTGCGCCATGTGACAGACCGTAGATGTAAACAGTTTGTGGCCCATGTGTTTTACTCATTTCTCATAATTCACATCCTGAAAGTCCTTTTCTTTGCTGCAATAATGTGCAGCAGAAAAGCTTCAGATATGACCTGGATTCGTTTGCGAAGACAATGTAAATATACACAGTTGTCCACACTGGGATTCTGTGAGTGAACGGTGTGGAAGAAGGTAATTTCCAAAAATTTCCACATCTCGTAGTCCCTCCCCCTCCTGCAGAGTATGTTGGTATCTCAAGTCACATGCACTCGTGTTATAAATGCACTTTGCAAACGTTCACCTTCATCAAAGCAGGTGAGCTGTGCTTGTTCTTCAAACTTCTTCGCCCAGATAACAACTACATGATGGCAAGGAGGACGACTGGTGAGTTTTCAATTTACACTTTGCTGTTTTATATTTACAAAATATATACCTGTATTTATATTTTTGCTCCTTCTGTCCTCCAAAAAAACCACTTAGTATGTATGATACAGTACAGTAGCAATAATTAACATATTTTTAAAGTAATACATTTTTGACAATGTCAGTCAAAAACAAGCATAATATATTCATGTAGTACGAAGCCCCGAATGTGGCATGCAGAAAAACAAGAAATATTTGTAGTGAGACAATGGCAGCAGAAGAGGACCTGCCCTCTTTCCTCAAGACAAGGACTATACCAAATAGTGTCATCAAAGATGAAGATGATTGTTTCTCATGAGGACAAAAGTATCTCGTTAGGATGAGAAACTTTCTAGCCCTAATGAGAAGCATATTTATTTTGTGTCATTTTAGGGTCTCTGTAATGTAGGCAGCTTTTTGTGTTGAACATAATTAGGTGCAGCTAAAGTTGTGACCAGTGAGTAAATCCGTTTCAATTCCAAGCGGTGACTCTCAGTTACAAATAAAAAAATAGCAGAACATTCTTATCATCATGAAGTGCTGCATCTGTAAAATGTCATTTAAAAAATAGGACTTAGATTTAGCCTAACTCTCTTGAAACAAAAGAGAACTTTTTTCACTTTCTTCTTATTGTTGACAAGTACTTTTGATGAAAGTTTTTTGAAGTGAAACCTTTATTGCATCATGCATCTTAGACAATTTTACGTTGCAGATGATAAATCAAGGGATTCGAGAACCTGTGGTTTCCTTTGCCTCGGTCCAATGATGTTCCATCACCGAGCTGTAGGAGACAGGATCCACCTGAGTCACGGGTGTCGGCATGCAAAGAGGGCAAAAGGAACCTTCAGAGATGGCCTGGTGTTCAGCAATCGCCCCGTGAGGGTCAATGAGCGGATTCGGTTGCGGATCGAGAACGTCATTGGCAGATGGCACGGAGCCTTGCGAGTGGGTTTCACCAACGTTAATCCAGATTCCCGTAATCTCCCACTGCCCAAAATGGCCATCCCCGACCTCACTTGCACCCCCGGACACTGGGCTACTGTCTTGGATGAGACGTTCTGCAAGGCAGGAACAGAGCTGGAATTCTGGCGGTCGTCCAAAGGCAACTTGTATGTTTCAAACAACATCCTCGATGAGCACAGGCTACTGCCCAAAGAAATCAACGTCAGAGGACCTCTGTGGGCCATGATTGACCTTTATGGACAGACGTGCTCCATTGTCCTCTTGGGTAGGTGTCATGTTTGCCATATGCCTGAAGGTAGCTCAAGGGTGTCCAAGCTCCTTTCTTTCGAGGGCCGTGCCCAGAAAAGTGGAGACCAAGGGAGTGAGAGATGAGAACAATTTCTTTTTCTCTTCTCCTCCCTTGCATTTTTGGACACCCTTGGTGCAGCTGTTTGAATGAGCCACCTTATTCATGATCACCCCCTCCATTTTGCGACAGGTTCTGTGATACGCGGAGGATTTTTCGACAGGAAGTCATGTAAGATGTCGGTAGTGCCGCGCTCACCTGCTTTAGACCCAGGCTCCTTGGCGACTGATGACTCCTCCCGTCTCAACTGGCCGGTGACAACAGGTATAGAAGCCCGTCTTCAAAAAAAAGCAAGTGACATACTTGTTCCACAACTGCTTTCTTTTTATGGTGCTTCCTGTCTCTTGATGACAGATGCAGAAGAACAGATGATCTGTGTGGTGTGCCTGGACAGACAAGCCCAAAATCCTCTGCCTTGTGGCCACTGTTGCTTGTGTTTGAAGTGCTCTTTCAAAATCTTTAAATCTTTTGGTACATGCCCACTGTGCCGGCAGAGCATGGGGACGCCAGTGATAAATTGGGTGGCTGCCCCTTAGAGACAGTCTCTTAAGGCGCCTTCTTGTTCTGTAAATTCTGTGATTTGATGTTGTATTTCTTAAACATGAACAAAATACACTGATTTTGATCAATAATACAACACCTGCAGGGTTATCTGTGTACTATTGTTTTAGTCGCTTGGTTTTGTTTTTGAGTGGAAGGCAGAGCTTTGTTTGCACTGTTAATTCTCAGGCATGCAATGTATGTATGTATTTATGGATGTATGTATATATGTATGTATGTAAATAAATGTACACCTGAAATATAAAATGAAGCTCTTTGTCCGTATATTTCTCTTGGTGAGTTTAACAGCGGTTCCCGCAAGATAACACAGTGGAACCTTCACAGTTGAACACAATCCATTCATGGACACTGTTTGATGTTTGATGTCAAGTTTATTCATATTTCTAAATCATTTTTCCGATTGAAAATAAATGGAATGAAGATGAGCCACAGTTCAAGTGCAGCAATTATGAAACCTTACAAATTATGAAGACTTTAACATTCTTAATGGACATACAATGGAATGGACTCCAGTTACTTGCTATCCTAATGAGGACAAGATCTATTGAAAACGTATAGATCGATCATATAACAGAAATAAGTCAAATCGCCCACTACATATTCTCTTTAATGAGGACGGTTTAAATTTTATCAAAGAGCCCAACAAATGCTAACAATCTGTCACGCTAGTGTAAAAAGAAATTATTGCCTTTATAATGCAAAATGAAATTCGCTGAAAGTCTAATAGGGCCGACTTGGTTGTTTCGCAAGTTTTCCTGGAGGCGGAAGTATGACCTCATGAAATTTTATGTTCTGAAGTGGAATTTTTCGCAACGTATATAACAAACATTCTGATGACTAACCCAAAATGGCGTATCGGGACAATAAACATGGGACGGTACACCAAAACGGGAAACAGGAAATGATGCACAACACTTTGATGATTATTACAAAACTACTGTATTTAGTCATAGATGGAGATTTATAAAGTGTTAGCCTTTGTTTTTGGTTTATATGAGAAAAATGCAAAATTTTAGATAGACATTGAAGCGGCTTAAAACAAAACAGTCCTTGAATATACTGTATATGTTCTATTTTTGATTAGACCTCTCACCCTTTTTTTAATGAATGTTTTTATTTAGCATCGTTTTTTTCTTTTGTAATGTCCAGTTCAGTGCATGTTGTTTGTGTGCTCAGTTTGTTTTTTTAATCTTATGTTTTATGAAAAATACTTTGTTGTATTTTTTTATTAATAAAGAGTAAATACAAATACAGTATACATTATGACGTACAATCACCTTTCTCTTCTTATCTGGAAGGATGAAAGGTTTTATGGCTTTGGGCGACATCTATTGGATTTCAAGTCATACTGCAGTATTAGAAAAACAAACTCCAAGGCGATGCAGTTTCACAGAAAAAGAAGACACGTGAGTCATACTGGAGTCATACTGCAGTATTAGAAAAACAAACTCCAAGGTGGTGCAGTTTCACAGTAAAGAAGACACGTGAGTCATACTGTAGTACAGCTTTTCTCATTTGCTTTGATACATTTCTCAGATCAGAATTGACTTTCTCAAAACTACCTGTTCACTGTCCACATCAATGTGTCACTTGTGCACTTCCCCAAAATAACGTTCTCATTTCTGTGAACACGTTTCAAATGATTTGCTACATTCATGCAAATGATGATGTACACTTTTCTGTTGTTTCCTACATTATCGGTTGGTTATGTCATGTTGATCTATAATGAAGTTAAATTAAATCGTCTCAGACCCCACAATATTTTGGCATCAGTTTATCATATAAGTCTCTACATGGAAAATGGTTGAAGTTTGTCAGATGCCAAGCATGTGTTGATACATTTCCATTAGATTTTATTTTCCCATGCGAATCTTGTGTTTTTCTAATAAAGGGACATGTCTGAAGCATTTGCTCAAACAATGATCAACCTTTTTTTTTTTTTTTTACCATTATTCAGAGCAAGTGAAAATAGTTGTGATGTGGATGGGAATTTTTGTGCCTCAAAAGTCAGGAACGTATGGCGTCAGAAGCCTGCACTGTCATTTCTACAGCATTGCATGTACTCCATGCAAAGAAAAAAAAAGATCTGACAAATAAAAAAAATAGATAAAAACACCCATATTTATAAACACGCTGTTTGTTTTCATTTTACCAGTACACTCTTAAAATCAGCAGACACTCATGCAGTCGGTCACATACTACAGTGATCAATGCAAATGACATTTGCAAAACCTCTGTTTTAGGAAATAGCACTTGCTCGGCTTTCTTGCCAGGCTTTTTTATGTAAGGGATAATTTCGATAACAAAACATACAGATAAATCCACAAAAGTTTTCATGATTACCTTGAGGTCTACAGGGAAAGTAAACCAATCTAGACACTTACCAAGCACTGCACGACATTGATCAATACGGTAGCATATTAATCAACAATGAAAATCTGAAAAAAATAGTACCGGTAGTTTAAAAAAAAAATTACTACTGCTAAATGTAGACAAATAAAAAACAATTACTCCATGAAGTACATACACTTCAAGCAACTCTGAAGAAAAAAAAATAATAAAGCAACAACAATGCTGTAACTTTAATCATTATAGCTCCTACCTGAGGTCTGTGTTGTCGATTAAGAACATGTGTGCATGTGTGCAATGTGGTGGATGTCATTATCCAATTTGTTCATTTGTGTAATCATTGGCAAGCCAAAGACTTTGTAATGGAAAGGAAGTAACCTCACAATCGTTATCTGTGTCTAAGGTGTGAAAATGTGTGTCGAGTTTTCCAAATCGCTGTGAGGAATGTTTTGCACAAGTGTGAAGCTGAGTCTGTGCTAAGTGTTGAGCAACTCTGAGCAGGTGTTATGCTCCTTAGGTATAAATATCTGTTGATTGTGTGAAAACTTTCATTTTAGTGGGGAAATAACTGTAAAAACAAACAAACAAAGAAACAAAAAACCTCATCCATGCACAATGACGCAAAGACTTGTCATTGTGATGGCACTGGCATGTTCAGTGACACAAATATTTACCTTTGAGAAACTTGCATATCGATCTTTCTGTAATTATTTTCATGTTATATTTAATAGAAGCTTTCCCCTGGTCAGTAAACAAACTAAAAAGGATTGTAGAGTTAAAAAAAACATGGTTTAATGGTTTACTGGGAACTTTACTCGGGAGCTTTGGGCAGTTGCACAAATACAGATGAACTTCTTTGATGAGGCGAGCAAAAGAAAGCTGTGAGGCCTTAATGTTTGGCTTGACTGTAAATGCAGTTCTGGAGCACCAAAAGAAAACAGTGACACCTCCCTGAGGCCCTGCAGAACTCGTGTGTGGGCATGCATTGTTTCCATTGAGTGAGGAGTTCAAGAACACACAAAAATGCCGAAATGTTGCAGGTGAGAACACTGTCACATGCTGACATTTGCCAACCGGTTCTTTTAGTAAGAATACCCAACGGCCTTCCGGTTGTGCGAAGCAACACACTACAAATACTTCATTGCTGTATTTAATAAATAAGCATGCCTTCTAAATTTGAGATACCACAAAGAGTGGTCACAACCCTTAATAGAAAACAAAAAAGTACAGTAATAGCCCCTTCATCGCAGGATTTGCGTTCCAGACAGCCACCGCAATAAGTGAAATCAGCGATATGGAAATCCACTTGTGAAATACCCACTAAGGTTGTTTTACAGCATTCATGGCATTAATTATGGCTTGAAACACACTTTAAAACAATACAAACACATTCAAAAACATGCAATATATTGAAAGAGAGCAAAAAGAGCAATGATTAGACAAAATATTGTAATAGTATTGCAGCAGTGTCCCGATCCCCGTGTTTACAGTAAAACTAACAAACGTATCTCACAGTATACAACAAGAATCATGCCCAAAGATGGACATTACAACATTAACTGAGAGCCGTTGCTTTTTTTTTTTAAAATATGTGCGTAGGATGGGGAGGATTGAGGAATTCAATGATCACTTCCTAATCTCGTCAGAAAAAAATGACACGTATGTTGAAATACAGTACAGTATTTTGTATTTCCTCTTGTCAAATTCACACATTACCAAACACAACAGTGTACCGCCGCCTTGTGGCCAAAAATGGAATTAGACCCCAAAACAAAGAAGAAAATGGAGTTATAATAAGACAAACAAAATCTGCAAAATGAATGATTGTTAAAAACACATCAGCGCATCAAAATGACACAAATTTATCGACCAGGGCTCACAAATGAAGAATAGAATGAAGAAAAGAATGAAGACATAGTGGTAAGTGTTCTACATGTTACATAAGAAAAGTAGTGCCACCGAGTATCACACTAAACAAAAGACCCGCAGATAAGACAAAACATTATATGAGGTATGTGTTTTAATTTTTCTGCGTAGAACAGTTATGTTCTACTATTAACCATACCGGAAGAGGTTCGTCCTGCCATGAAAATGCTCATTTTTCGAATAAATGCATTTGCTGTCCCCGCTACAAAGATCTGTACTGCTACTTAAGAACTGAGTCTATAAGCACTTTTGTCACCTCTACTTCCGTCTTTCTTCAGCCATAGAGAGCGTTTTGACGTCATGCATCACAGTGTGGTTCTCCCGCTTCACTGAGGCACAACGGAAGAGGCTCCAGAGAGTGGTCAACGTCCTTAACGTCCTGCTGCCTGAGAAGAGCTGTGGCAGTCGCAGGTGGCAACAATCATCGCACCCAATCCCCTCTTTGACTCAATGCCCCCCTGGCAGGCGCTACCGGCCCATCAGGACCGGAACAAACAGACTCGGAGGTAGCGTCATACAAGCCACCAATGCACTGAGCTCACAATAAAACCAACACAAATCCAAAACACTTTTATACTGTACATATAAAATGTGCGCCTTATTGCTATTTGCACTACAGACAATCCTTTTATTCTTCAAATACAAACTTGGAGTTGCACCGTACAATGACAGTAAAGGCATTCTATTCTATTCTATTCTGTGCCTTATTCAAATGTGGCACATTATATATCAGACTGTGCAATTACATGACATGTCCCTCAGTTCAGAGAAAACGACCTCATCGTGTCTCGCATGAAAGGCGGTGCCACAGAGCCAGAATGGCCTGAATGGGAAGCTCTATTACTTCCAGCTGTGGATGGAAACTATTAGCGAGCGCCATCTCCCTGATGAGCTCTGAAGCATGTGCTCACACTCACACATACAAACACGAGCCATACACACACACACACACACACACACGCACGCACACACACACACGCACACACACACACGCCTACCCGCCCTCGCCTACTTTCAGAGCCACGCTGGAGGGTTCAACATAAGATAAAGACACGCTGTTGGTTGGAGACAGAGAACAAGAGAAAGAGAGAGAAAAGCAGCAACGGCTTCCTCCCTCTTTTTCTTCACTTCCTTCACTCATCTGTGTTGAGGAGACCCCGGCCAGCCCGCGCTTGCCTGTAAGTATACTGCACACATCTTGACTGCAGCCAGGTCGCAGGTCGGAGGAGATAAAAAGAAATCATGTCATTCTCATGCTTTGTTGGGTTGCTTCTGCAGCAAAGGATGACCCCCATTATCAGTGGCGTCTGTGTTTATAGGACAATTTTATTTGATTGCTTTTACTCGAAACAAAGTCAACAATAAGTCTACCGCAATTCAAGGGATATCATCAATGTAGGAAGTTTCACAACACTTCATGAAAAAAATGTGACTGTCCTGATGTTTGTCAGCATTGCTGTGTGTGTGAAAGCCTCAGACGCTATGTGCTAAAGCAGTTGTTCATTCATCTTCGTGCATTTGTTTAAAAAAGTTAGTTATTTTTCACCAAGCTAAAGTTCCCTCGAGGCTTTATGAGGATAATGTGGGACATGTATGTAGAAAATGTTGTTTCCTGCTAAAACAAATACACCCTGATGGTTACATGTTGGTTCTCATGCTTACATTCCTTCAGTGCTACCTCAGAGAACAGAGAAGATAACCGCAGTGATTTTCTAACCAGTGTATACCTGTACCTGTTCGTGTGACATTTCTGCACTTGTGGACTCTCACAAATGACATCACAAGTTTGCTCACAGTTAATCCTGTGGTTTTTATGGATGTGGTGGTAGCAATAGGGCGTTATGTATTCTTCTGATTAGATTAGTTTTCTTTTTCTTTGTTCAGGTGTACTCACCTGCACCAATAAAAGTCGCAACTTTGTCTTATTGTTGATTGCGCAGTGCAAATGAGGGCAGTTGCAAAGTGTTCACACACACACACACACACACACACACACACACACACACACACACACACAGGGTGGACTAAGCACCTCATTTGCATGACAATGCTAAATTGTGTCAGTACAACCACAAACTCCACAAACTCAAACCTTTAGGAAGGTAATGTTGTTCAACCGTGACTGACACAGTCAGAGGCATTGATTTAACAACATGTTTATTCGTGCATCCGAACAAGGTGATCAAAATAATAACTGCGTCAAGCAAATACCAAAACCAAGTCGAGCCTGCCTCTGCGCAGATGTAGACCACACTTCACACTCGACTTGCACTGAGCACAAAAATAAAGACCTTAGTGTTTAACTACGAAACACATTTTGAATCAAAGTAGAGTTTTTAACATGAGTCTCGGGTGTCACCATGAGAGCCTCAGTGGAAAAAGTGCACATTTTTGAAACATTTTTGAAACATTATTGTTTGAGAAAGTCATAGTTGCTTACCCGGTTAACATTCTGTAAAGAACACACGTTGGTATGTCATGAACTAGGATGTGTTGTGACGGCCGGGGTCAAAGTGTCAATCACCTCTTGCATGATTTGCCACATAGTGACAGGGTGTTAGATGTGCTCACAGTAGGGACAAAGTCTGTTCATGGCGGGATATATGTAATTGCCCCAACCCACCCACACATGCTTGTCTCTCAGGTTCAGAAGCTCAACTATTTGGTAAAAACAAAGCTGCGAGGAGGGCAGGCTCAGTAAATGGATATCTGCCTTGGAGAGCACCACCAAGCTAGACCACTGAATTATTTAACTACTGGAGTCCTTCACTTTCTGCCTTGAACCAAAGATAATACACAGAAAAAGTTTCAGCAAACAGAAGTCTCCAGGATGTCTTTCGTTTATTGCTCCAGAGATGAAAGTGCACCTGCGAAAGAAAGCAATCAGATTGCGACACGTAACTGGATCACTTGACTGCGGCAGGGACACAAAACTGTCAGCGCGCTCCTGTTTCGGTTTCGTACACTCGCTGATGTGTGGGTGAACTGGAAAGCCAAGTTTTAATTGGGCAAGCATTGTGTGCAAGGGTAATGGCATCCCACCAGGCACGTTCGAATCAGGAATTTGGAATACGCAAAAGTATAAATTGCCATCGGAGGGACAAACTGTCATCCAGTCTTTGTTTATTTAGCACGTGTTTGTGTGAGCTCATGGGAGCCTCTGCTTTAAACAGAGTGGATGACGTGGCGTTTAAGTAATGAGCCAGTAGAAGAGAAAGAGCTCCCATCCTCCTTTGGTGCTTTTGGCCTTTACTCACACAAGGAGAGGGTGTTACAAGACAGATAAAGATACTAAGTGGTGGTGTCACAGAGTCACTGGGCAGTATCTGGGAGGTGGAGGTGATGAACTGCTCTCATTCCCCTTTGGTTAACCCCAGGCTGTAAAATAGCACCTTATCACAACAAAAGGGCTTCTTCACAGAGTCAGGTCCCCTGAACTGACAAGCCAAGAGCAGGGTGCCTTTTGAGTGGGGCCGAAGGGGTTGCTATGGTGATGCTTGTCATCTGGGAAGTCTGCTACAGGGGCATGCGGGGCGAGATCTTGGGAGGGAAAGAGAAAGACAGAGAGAAAGGGGTGGGGGGAGGAAGGGGGAGAGAGAGAGAGAGAGAGAGAGAGAGAGAGAGAGAGAGAGAGAGAGAGAGAGAGAGAGAGATCAAGCTCTTGTATTCTGACTGTAATATATAGTGAGAGCAGGGAAGTTTTGCAGAGTCCACTTGAGAGGTGAGTACACGCTTTGTCCTAAAGATCAATCCATAAAAACACATTGCGTGTTGTTCGAGACAGTTTTCTGTTTATTTATTTTTTAATGTTGAGAAACCTGTCTGGCTGCTCCAAGCTTGCAGGATTAGAACACTTAACTCAGGAGTGGTTATATGCCGGGATGCACTTTTAAACAAGTCCCATCACTCCCCACATCCGCTCTTGACTGCCTGTTTTGATACACATTGAAAAAGCAAATCGAAGGAAGGGTATTTTCCCAGGTTGCAGGGTTGAAAGCAGGGGTGTCCAAGCTTTTTCGTTTGAGGGCCGCATACAGAAAAATGGAAGGATGAAAGGGCCACTTTACAATTCTTTCATTTTCTGAAACACGCCAAAATGAGTCAAGAAAGCAATTATATGTTGTTTGCATTGTCTAGTTAATTTCATCAGCTTTCTTTTAAAGGTTTTAAATCAAATAAAGTAGAACCTCGTTTCAACATACCCCGTTGACTTTTTATCCCCTATTATGTTCACATTTCTAAGTCCCGATTTCACATAATTCATTTTCCATTTGTCGATTTTGCTTCCAACCTTTATAATATAAACTTCACAAGACAGACCAGATTTCTCCCACAAAATGCTGAAAAGGCCTTCGTTACAACGAACCGTGGGAAGCTAACTGCCGTCATGACCTTGCTTATGAACAAAATGTACAACGCGGGATACCCTACGTTGCTTAGCAACGTTACTGCTCGACTCTGTTCATTGTTGTACATCCTGAGCACATGGTCTGAAAACATGTCTGGCAAATGGAAGCAAATCTCTCTGTCTCAGAAGGCTGACATTTTCTCTCACTTTCAAAAGGGAGTCTCCCAGATCTCGGCGGCACTAGCAGTTGCCCATGGTGGGTAACATTTGCTGACTGAATGTTTTCAGAGATGAAGTAAGAGCGCTGTAGTTGTTTGTTTCATGTCTTATAAAATCATTTTTTCTTCATATACACAGATTTGTAATTGACATGTTTGTACTGTACTACATGTTCATGTTCTTACATCGATAAATGATCATACTGCATTATACGTCGTAGTTGGCGGCCATTTTATTGGAAATGGTTTCAACAAACTACTGTTATAACATACAGATTCATTATGTCCCTTGAGGTATGTTGTAACGAGGTTCGATTGTAGTTGAGGATTTTTAAGGCAAATAGTAGAGGATTTTCTGGACAAGCGAACAGCCCACTATTTGTCGGAGTAGTTCCAGCTCTGCACATGACAGAGGCTGAATCCCACCTCCACACTCAGAACCAAAAAAAAGAACAAATTGTGGTAAAGTGACCATTTTTCAAACACTTACTTTGAGGATCATTCATGTGATGTCTTCATAAATCAGCCTAAGAGCACAAAGTGGAAGAAACTATTTTTGCCTCTAAAATGGAATTATCTTTATTCACTACAGTGTTTTGAAGATAAATTGTGCTAGTTTTTAAATGATATATGGTTTATTTGGATCTTCGAATATAGAGAAAAATTCTGCGGTACATAAACAAATGTATGAGTCAGAATGGCATCTATTTTTTTGACACCCTCCCTTTTCACTCTGCCCACCTTCACCTTTTTTTAAACTAACCGTGCGGCCCATGTCAAATGTCATTTCCTGTATATATATTTTTTATCATGTCTTGGGCCGCTGAAACATGGATGGTGGGTCGCAAATGGCCCCCAGGCCGTCGATTGAACACCACAGGCTTAAAGCATCACTCCCAAGGGTTCCCTTGCTGTCACATCCATTTCCACAGATGCCTCTGATTCCCTTTGTAATATTACGGAGGGTCCGCGTGTCAGCCCGCATATGAGCGGGGCACCGTCAGCTTTAGATAAGCGAAATGACAGCCAAGAGGATTTGTGACATTTTATTCACGGTGTTGAGGATGCAGGTTTTCTGTTCTCGGAAAGTTGGAAGCAGCAGATTATACAGTGATTAGTTGCTTTCAGATGTTTACCCCAATACACTGCTTTTTTTTTTTTTTGGAAGGGGACAATATTGATAAGTGGAATGATCACATCCAATGGAAATAATAGAGACAGAAAAAGAAAAATCTAGCACACGGTCGATCATTTGTTTTGTGCGTCTGCCTCATAGTTGAGCGATTGTGGCTTCCTCCCACATTCCAAAGGCAATAAAGACTCAAAATGGTAGAAAATGTTTTTTTGCCCTGCCACTGACTAGTATGCAGTCAATCTACTATAGCAGAAGTGTCAAACTCATTTTTGTCGTGGGCCACATTGTAGTCCGGTTTCCCTTGGAGGGCCGTTATGAATTTTGGGAAACCATACAAATGTTTAATCCCCTCCACATATTGCATACACAGAGCACAACAAATTGATGAATAACTAGTTTTAAAATCAGAAGTCAAGAATCATGACTCTTATTGTGTGTATTACATATGACAATTTGAAATTTTGGTTCAGACTTTAG